AGATTTACTTGTAATTAGTAAAAATTTAATAAGCACGAACCTAAAAACTGTCGATTCATCTTGCCTAAAACAAAAAACCATAATTTCGTATTTTTGCATAAAGTTTTACGAAAAAATAAAGTTAAAGACGGTACTTCTATGATTACCGTATTTTTCCCAATAGAAGCGCATGCGCTTCTATTTTTCAACCTCCTCGTAGACTGCGCTTCTATTGGGACGTGCGCTTCAAATGGGACCTGCGCTTGTATTTTTTAACTCCTGTGCGAATTAATTTTTATAACATTATAGACAACTTGACAACCAAATTTCACTAAATTTTCGCCTTCGGCGCTGAAAAAGGAAGAAATTTGGCTTTTTTTCTTCCCAAATTCTGAAAATTTTCGCCTGCAGCGCATGTAAAAGGAAGTTGAATGATATTTTGGAGAATTTTTTCTACATTTTTAAAGATTGCGTGTTGCGGAAATTGCGAATTTTTTGCAATTGCGAGTTGAGGATTGCGTTTGCGGATTTTTAAAAAGAAATTGCGTGTTGCGGATTGCGAGTTACGGAATTTTTTTTCAATTGCATCCAGCCCTGCTTCGGTACCGTCACTCGAAATCCCAATACCTTCCCATTCTTCAACTATCCATCCCAGATAAATTTTCATTGGTTTTAAATTTTCATTTCATTTTCACCTACAACATCAATTTCCGAGCCGGAGGAATCCATTTTTAATGAAAAAGTGTAATATATTCTTAATCTAAATATAAATAATGAATACTGTTTGTTTAAAATAGTAACTATGTAACAGAGTAATTGCTCAAATAAGTATTTCATAGGATGCGCTTATAATAGGACGTGCGCTTCTATTGGGACCTGCGCTTGTATTTTTCAACCTCCTCGTATACTGCGCTTCTATTGGGACGTGCGCTTCAAATGGGACGTGCGCTTCTATTGGGAAAAATACGGTATATAAAAATTAAAAAATATTTCAAACAATTTTTATTTACGTAATCAAATAATTATAATGTCGAGAATATTAAAATTTTTTTCTTTAATTTAATTTACGCATTTGTTTCAAGAAAAAGATTGTTAGTTTGTGTAAAATATCAAAAATTATTAAAAATTTAATAAACTGACAATTTATTTATGTAATTATATTTAATTTAGATATGTTTCAATAAGGAAGTTACCATAACTATTTGGATATCACAAAATTTAATTTTTAATTCAAGTTTACTATTTAATATTAGTATTTAATTTTTAAGCTTTGAAATTCTTCACTTTTTTTATAAATGATTAGAAGTAATATTTTGAATTAGGGGTTTTTTGTTTAATTTCTTAAAATCCGGTGAATGAAAATATTTTATTGTTCTTTCCAAACTATATTTATTTAGCAAGATCTGTATTTCTTTTATTCTTTTGATTAATTTTATCCAAAAATATTTAGGTAACATAAACTTTCCGGGGCAAACCGAGATTAAGCATTGAAAATAAACGAGGATCTATTATTAAACGGGTAAATTTTTCAATCTCGACTTTTGTGAAGTTGACATCGAGAATCACTCTTGAAATTAAAATTTTTAAAAAATTTTTAGCATAATTAAAAATGGAAATAACACCAATAGGTTATTCTGTTGCATTTATTGAAATAATCCCAATAACAATTTTGATTCCTTCTTCTCTTTTAAATTTATTTTTATTGTGGAAAAGTTGTGTTTTAAATAATAATTCTAAAATTATTCTTATTTCACAAAGTATTGCTATTTTTATTTATTCATTAAGTCGGCTATTTTTGTAAGTTAATTTCTAAATGGTACTAATTTAGAGTCCTGGAAATTTGGGCTCTGAAAAATTTTGCACTAGTTTATTCTGAAGATTGGGCTTCGACGGAAATTTGGGCTTTGTCAAATAAACAAAGTTACTATTGAATTCGGATAGTACATGCCCGTCATCAGGGGTGTACATAAATAAGTTGCCGTTTTCGAGTTGGGCCGACGTTCAAGGCATTTTTTCGTGCTTGTTTTTATCGAGTCGGGCCGGTACGAGTCTTTTGGGCCAAACATCTAGGCCTGACTCGATCTTTCGGTCCGAGTCGGTCCATTTTGGCAATCCTACTAGCGAGGACCAAACCTAAGTCCAACTATATTTATAAAAGTAAATTTAATATTAAGCCTTATTCTAACCATCTCTAAACAATATAATTTATATAATTTACTAAATTATTTTGATGCAAACATTGGAATATCATGTATAATTTTTGGAAATTTGATTGGCCACGTTTTAATTTTGGAGAGAACTATAGCTACTTTATTTACCACAAAATATAGCCAAACAAAAGTTCCACTGTTTGGAATTTGTTGTATTTCAATTTTGGTAGGATTTTTCCCTCTATCAATATTGGGGTTTCAGCCAGGCTGGGCTAATTGCATTGAACCAAAAATCAGTAAAGTTTCCGGCAAATCAAACTTTGTTTTGTGTGCGAGCAGTGTCTAAATAAAAGGACAATCGGATTTTATTATTTTATTATTTTTCAGTTATTTTTGACTATAATCGATAGATTTATACCCACAAGCTCTACTAATGGCAGAGTAACAAATTTATTTGATATTATTGTAACAAATCTTTCATTGTTATTAAGCCTATTAGAATTAATTGTATGTTTTATTAATACTCACAAAAATTTGAATCTAATATACATATAATTAACAAATATTAATGATATTAATAGCTAATCTGAATCCAAAAAAATGGGATATCCTAAAATTTTTGTTTTAGGTTCTTGACTATATCAGAGGATTTTCCATAATCTGTAAACATATAGGCGAGCAGTCTTAAAGCAGTTTGGCCTGAACTAGTATTTAATTTGTAGAGAACTGCGAGTCTCGGTAATTTGGGCACTGGAAAGTTGCGCTCCAAGAATTTTCGGAAAGTTAGGCTAGAAATTTTCGGAATGTTGGGCTCCGGCGGAAAATTGGCTCTGAAAAAAACAAGTCAATGAAATTATAGGTAGAAATGATTTCAAAATAACACTGTTGGTTTTCATTGTTGGGCGAATACTACCTACAGAGCGAGATTGGGGTTTTATCGGGACCTACGGCTTTTTCGTCTGGGAGAGTACCCTATTCCTTAGCAGTATTTTACGGTTTGGCCAAATTGCTTGGTCCTCATTTTTTTATTTCTAGGCATTTTCTCGATTGACTTCCTTCAACAAAAAAATGTATAAAAAATATTTGAATAACAAATCTAACACAAAAAATAATTACACTTTGAATGAGCGTTATCGACAATTAGAAAATGTTTATACAGGAAAGCAATTGGCACCTTCCTTTTTCTTTCATTTTATTAATATTTTGTGTACAGATATTGTAACTGTAACAGTAGTACCTTATTTGAACTTATCAAATGATATGGTTAATAATATTATTTATATTGTTTACGTAATCCATTCAATTTGCAAGCTTGGTATCGAAATCACTGTAATAACGTAAGTAGAAATTATTTTATAATTTACAGTCGGACATCTCTATAAAATACAACTATATAATTAATTGAACCCCGATATATATACTTTCATTTCAATTTAATTAGAACCATGACTTGGCTTTCTCTTAAAGACTCCAGTCGATTTTTATTTAGAGATTCGGAAGTATCACTAATTAAATCTAAATTTAATACGATTTTTTTGAAAACTCCAACCAATAAATATCCTTTAAAAATGTGTATCTTTACTAAGAGTCGGCTGTCTTATATTAAACTAACCAGACTCGTGCCTGGATATAAATAATATCCAGATATGATATATCAGGACACGGATAGGGCCAAATAATCCGTGTCCTTGTATATACAGGTCTGAATTTATTAACAAAAAGATTTTTTTTTCTAGTTTCCACCCAGTTTTAAACAAAAATTTAAATAAAATAATTACAACAATAATTAATTTTATGAAATGTGGACACTCTTCTAATAAAATAAACGTTGAAAAACAAACAGTAATTAATTTACAACAAATTGTTGCTACTTCAAAAGAACAGGATTTGCATTTTGAAATGTTAAAACAGTCTTGGATGTGATAGAAATAAATTGTTTGATAATTATACATCTAACTTTTTTGAAATGGTCTGCTCTAATTACTCTTTTTCAGTGAAAATTTATTTACAGGATGCGAAATGTTTACTTTATGCAATAGCTCCTTATTACTACACCCATAAGTGGCACAAAGGATTCTGACTCAAAATTTTTAGCTTATATATGATCACAAATGATATCAACCTTCATTGTACTAATAATCTTGATTCTTAATTTTTTCATAATAAATAAAAAATATTTTAACAAAAAATTAATTAAATATTCATAAAACATCTGTTTTTTTAATTCACATTAAACAAAAAAATTTTAAACAATTTTTATTTATTTTATAAAATTATTTAAAAGGTTGAGAATTTTATTTTATGTACATTTTTAATTTAGTTTTTTTATTTAATATAAACATCTGTTTCAAGAAAAAAGCTTATAGCGTTGTTAGAATACTTAGAATTATTAAAAATTTTATAACTGAAAGACATCTACACTTTAAAAATGTTGGCTAAATAAATACTAATTAAATAAATAATTATTTAAATTTATTATGTTGCTATGAAGTCGTCACTAGAAGCAGTTGAATATGTTGGAATTTAATTGCCTCTAAAATTTAATTTATAAAGCGTTAATTAGGATTCGAATTTTCAATAAAATATAATCGGAAAATATGCCATATAAAATGTCTAAATAAATTGGCAAAACATTTAAAAATTTGCTAATTTATATTTTTCAGATATCCAGATCCGAGGCATAAATTTTTATTAAAGTTGAGAGAATTGTACTAAGACACCTAGCCTTTATCAATCCTCAATATTGCCACCTTTATTATTCTAACATTACTAATAAAAATGTTATTTTATTCTTGCGCGTTCTATTGTTATTCTATTCAAAATAGCTACTTTTAAGGGTTGTTTTAAAAAAATTTTTTAGTAAAATAAAAAATGGAAATAACTCCAACAGTTTATTCTGTTGCATTTATTGAAATAATCCCAATAACAATTTTAATTCCTTCTTCTCTTTTAAATTTATTTTTATTGTGGAAAAGTTGTGTTTTAAATAATAATTCTAAAATTATTCTTATTTCACAAAGTATTGCTATTTTTATTTATTCTTCAATTCGGTTATTTGTGTATGTTAATTTTTAAATGAATTAATACGGGCAGATTTAATTATAAGATACACCCTATTTTATTTACAATAGATCTCTAAATTTCAAATCTTCAATTAAAAATTATCTGGACTTATTTTTTAATGATTTTTGAATATTTTGTTTAAAAATCTATTTTACAATTTAAGAATCGAATTTAGGCACCTTTTTTAGGTACTTACGGTTATACGCCGAAACTGATTGTCAGACAAATTTGATCGGCTTTAACCTTTTTTATCCTTGATCCAATTCAAATAAATCTTATATCACTCGAAGGCTCTTAATAAGAGGAATCTTTTTACATTTTAAAGGATCAAGTCTGATCACTAGTTAAGATGTTATAACCCGATAAATGTGAAAAACACCTAATATAACTGAAATTATCATGTATAAATTTTTAATGAGTGATCATCACTTTATCTATTTTATAAAAAAGGTACCGTTTATCGAGGGCTTTAGATTGATTTTATCATAAATACCAAAATTCCGATAGTATTTTTATAAAATTAAATTTTTCAGGCTTATTTTAAGCATCACTAAACAAAATAGTTTATTTTTATCACTATACTATTGTCTAGCGACTATTGTATTTCCTTGCATAAATTTTGGTAATATGATTGGGCACGTTTTAATTCTGGAGAGAACTATAGCTACTCTATTTACTACAAAATATAGCCAACCAAAAGTTCCAATTTTTGGCATTTGTTGCATTTTAGTTTTGGTATTTAATTGTTTTTAATTTTTTGATATCATGGGGTCTATATCAATTTTCCGCAGATTCTGCATTCTGTGAATTGATATAGCATTCTCCGGACAATTGATATACCATAAATGCTCGAATAAGTAGCCTGGGTATTATTGTTTCAATCTCTCGCTAGTTGGGTAATTATTCTAGCATTTACGGTAGGCCCCAGAGCCGTTTAGAAACAAAAATTTAAAAAGTTCAAAAAATCGAAATCGAGAAAGATCTGATATGAATGAAAATAATTTTAGGTCTTTGCTCAAAATTTATAAGTCCAATCAAAAAATAATTGGATTTTTCTTAGTGTTGCAAAGTTGGGGTATGTTTTAAAACATCTTTTCATGTTCGGGACCTACACCCACTGGTCTGGAAGCATTCCTGTCTAGGGCCATATATTATGTAATATAGTCATAATATTTAATCATTTTTCAGTTATTTTTATCAATACTTGATAGATTAATACCTACAGATTATACAAATGCCAATGTAACTAATTCATTCAGCATTTTTATAATAAATGCTTCACTGTTATTAAGCTTATTAGAAATAATTGTATGTGATATCCTTCAATTTAAATCTAGAAAATTTTTAGGCATTTTCTCGATTGACAGCCTTCAATAAAAAAATGTATAAAAAATATTTGAATAACAAATCTAACACAAAAAATAATTACACTTTGAATGAGCGTTATCGACAATTAGAAAATGTTTATACAGGAAAGCAATTGGCACCTTCCTTTTTCTTCCAATTTATTAATATTTTTTGTACAAGCATTACAGCTGTAATAGTAAATTACTTGCAAAATGAAGTAATGGACAATGTTATTTGTTTTTATTTGGTAATACATGCAATTTGTAAACTTGGTATTGAAATAACTGTAATAACGTAAGTTAATTTATAAAGTCCGTTAAGAAAGCATAAGACCCCCCTATTTTTTGCTGTTATTCATTTATCCAACTTGATTCTGAATGTACAGAGCTATATATAACCCTTAACTTTTTATATCGTAGGATACTTAGGTATCTAATAACTTTGAAACAGGTAAATAATTGTAAAGTTATACTCATTTTATAATTTATTAACAAAATTTCTTTTTCTAGTTTCCACCCAGTTTTAAACAAAAATTTAAATAAAATAATTACAACAATAATTAATTTTATAAAATGTGGACGCTCTTCCAGAGTAGATGTTGAAAGACAAACAGTAATTAATTTACAACAAATTGTTGCATCAAAAGAACAGGATTTGCATTTTGAAATGTTAAAACAGTCATGGATGTGATTGAAAAGATTTTGAAAAAAAATATTTTTTTAACAAATTTTGTTTAAATATACGATAAATACTCTTGTATAAGCGTTGGCCTTATATTATGGTTTGATATTAAGGAGTAAGGGAGATTAAAATTATTAACTTGATTTGGATAAGATATCGAGGGATTTGAGATGATATAGAAAGATTAAAATGAGTTGGTGTGATTCGAAGGAGATATCACCAATACAAAAATCAGTTCCCCGAAAAAGAAAAATAATTTTGCTTGTCATTATTTATTATTATCTAATGCTAAATTAAATTGTAAAGCCACCTCGGCGGCTTATATTGGAGCCTATAATTTGATTTTGGTTAAATAAAAAATTTTTTAATGTAAGAAGGTTGAATTTATTTAACAATTAATATAGTTAAATTTTCAAGAAATTTTTTTCGATTTTCGATGAGTTATGAGAAAAAACAGATGGAGCTATAATTTTGAAACAGAATGTATTTTTACAATTATTTTTTTTATTATTAATATTTTCGTTTTTTGTCCATAATAAAAAATATTTTTTCAAAAAATAATTTAGAAAATAAAAGAATAATGTCATTTTTTTACGGTACGGCAAAAAATATTTCAGATAAAATTTACCTTTAATTAATAAAATAATTAAAAATGTGAGAAATTTATTATAAAATTTTTATTTTCTTGTTTACATTTAACTTAAATTTGTACTCTAAAAAAATTTTTTGCATGGGAAAATTTTGTTGGCTCATAAATGTAACTATGTACATAGATTTATAAAAAAATTTTAACAACTCGATAAACTTTCTCAATTATATATTTATGTATGTGTATCAAATAAATTTTATTTTATTTTAAATTATTGTAAGGTAGAAAAATATGGTGCAGCGCCGCTTAATAAAATTTAATATTATAACTCAAAAATAATTATTAGCGACTCCCTCACAAATTGTAATTTATAGGAAAATTGTACTTTTAAGTTCCCGTTTTAAATGTTTGAAAAATTTATATTTATTTTTTATGAATAGGACCCGAGATTATATTATAATCCTCCCTCATATAACTAAATAGAATACCTATATTGGCCTTTTGTTATGCTCTGACCTGCTCTACTATTGGAATTATTTACCTCTATAATGTTTAAATTGGTGTTTGAATTAAATTTATTAAAAAAACTTGGAATTATTGTTAGATAATTTTATTTTTATTATTTGCGTGCGGCTACAAATAATTTTAAAATTTTGTTCATAAAATACATGTTGAGTGTTAATTTAAATGTTGCCTAAAATTTTTATAAATTTCAAACAAAATTCGATAAATTCTAAAAATGTTATCTTATTAATTGTAAATTCCGTTTACTTACATATTATATTTTTATAAAAATTTTATATCCAAAAATTAAGCAGTTTTTGGTGTAAATTCAATTTGATTTTGTCTTCTACTGGATTTTGGATAAAGGGTTTTTTCTAAGAAACAGGAAAATGTATAAAGGAAATAAAATCAAAGCTAGACCGTTCTAACATACACACTAGAAAACAAAAACGTTTATAATACCAAAGTTTTTCAGTATTTCTTGATTATAGTTTGCGAAATAACTTTATAAAAATTTAATTTTTCACCTTTACAAATTTATGAAAAATTTTTTTAGCAAAATTAAAAATGGAAATAACTCCAACAGTTTATTTTGTTGCATTTATTGAAATAATCCCAATAACAATTTTAATTCCTTCTTCTCTTTTAAATTTATTTTTATTGTGGAGAAGTAGTGTTTTAAATAATAATTCTAAAATTATTCTTATTTCACAAAGTATTGCTATTTTTATTTATTCTTCAATTCGGTTATTTATGTAAGTTAATTTTTGAATGAATCTTGCTATAAGATAAGCTGAATTTGAAATAGTTTTTAGAAAGTTAATTCACAAGGCCTGTATGTATTTTTATAAAATCAAATTTTTCAGGCTTATCTAATCATCTCTAAACAAAACAATTTTTATAATTTAACATTCTTTTTTGTTGCAAATATTGTAATTGCTTGTGTAACTTTTGGCAATTTAACTGGACACGTTTTAATTCTTGAGAGAACTATAGCTACTTTATTTAACAAAAAATATAGCCAAACAAAAGTTCCAATTTTTGGAATTTGTTGTATTTTAATTTTGGTATTTTATTAGTTTTATTTACTTGATATCAGACTGTTTCGAAACAGAAATTTAAAAAGTTCAATAAATCGAAAAAGATTGTAGGCTCACATTAAGAATAGGGTTGCCATTTTCGAACTGAGCCGACGTTAGATTCATTCTTTTGGGTCTTTTTTTTGTCGAACCAGACGGTCAAGCTTTTTCTGGGCCTAAAATCAAAGCCCGATTTATCTGTTTTTTGCCCGTTCTTTCTCAAGTACGAAATGCGGACTTGTACAAATCATGAAGGATTAATTATTATTTAATCATTTTTCAGTTATTTTTATCAATAATTGATAGATTAATACCGACAAATGCTACTAATGCCAATTTATCTAATTTATTTACTATTATTGTATTAAATGTTTCACTGTTATTAAGCTTATTAGAGTTAATTGTATGTCCTATATTTTAAATTAAATTTGACCAATTTAATAGGCATTTTCTCGATTGACGGCCTTCAATAAAAAAATGTATAAAAAATATTTGAATAACAAAACTAACACAAAAAATAATTACACTTTGAATGAGCGTTATCGACAATTAGAAAATGTTTACACAGGAAGGCAACTGGCACCCTCCTTTTTCTTCCAATTTATTAATATTTTGTGTACAAGCATCACAGCTGTAATAATAAATTACTTGCAAAATGAAACGATGGACAATGTTATTTGTTTCTATTTGGTAATACATGCATTTTGTAAACTTGGTATTGAAATAACTGTAATAACGTAAGTTCATTTATTCGGTACTTGTCAGTCAATTTTCACCACCCTTTCTAATTCGAAAGACTACAATTTTGTAAA